TTTGAGAACCACTGGGCTACACTAATATAAGGCTACTAGTATTATAATATTACTGCAATAATATTCCAGTGGTGGCTGCTTAAGGTTGTTTCTGGCTCGTTTGATCCAAACATTGTCCAAAGCTCAAAATGTATTGTAATAGATGTAAGAATTCTCAAAATGTACAATATGTTTTGATCCAACACAATATTCTGATTCAATCCATATATGTTAGGGGGTTTTTTTTCACCAAAATAAATAGACTGCCTTCTCTCCAGACATGATCAGGCTTATATATTATAAAAGTGTTGGCTAAAGTAACGCAGAATATATATATTTTTTAATTGTAAATAATTAAGTACACACACATAACAAGCTGTACCGAGTTCCTCCGGCTGCAGTTCCGCAGACGGCCGGCGTGTGGCAGCAGAGCGCTGGGAGCAGAGGGAGGTGAGTATATGACGGATATGACGGATGACGGATGCGACGGAAATACACCCGAACATATCTGGTAGGCCGAACATATCTGGTACTGACACCGGCTTGCCTGCCCTACTGTGTTTCACCGCTACACTACTGTCTGGTGGGTGTTGCTCTTGGCCTACATTGTCTGTACCAGCCTCTTGGTATCACTGTGCCTTTGCTCTTCATTACAGGGCCATATTTTAAACATTGTTATCGCGGACTGTTCGATTAATCTCTGTTCATGATTAGTTATTTCATTGAGTTAAGTTTGTTTTGTTTATTTAATTCAAGATTAAGTAGACTGTTAGGTTGATTTTCGTTTCTTTGGTTTAGTTTTCGACCCTGTTGCTTTAAATTTGTTTTGTTTATTTCAGTTAATATCAGTTTCTTGAAATCAGTATTTTGTAGTATTCTTGACTTTTTATTGTCTTATACTTATCTTATGTGTTGGTCTGTGTATTAATTTGTGTTTACTGTTTATCCCAGTAATTGTTTCTTGCTTGCCCCTCTTAGTTGCTGAGAGCCAAAGGTGTGGTGCTGGTGTCCCCGGTGGTGGCTTCCCCCTTTGTGTGTCGTGCTGTGCTCCCCCCTGATTTGTGTTCCTTCGTGTGAGTGTGTAGTGATCACGGGTGCCTTAATTTACTTTGTTGGGATCCCTCTCACCCCTCGTCACCTCCATCCACTGGTAAGCCTCAGCATCCCTAAATTAAGAGTTCCCCCTTTTATTTTCAGTGTATATAATGATCTTATGGTGTTTTTAATGATATTTTAATGCCAGAAATAAAACATTTAATAAATTGGAACCACGTCTCCTGCCCCTCAGTATCACGAACCTGAGTGCCTTGTTGGTACTTGGAATAATTATTTCCTTGGGTGCAATTCCCAAGGTGGCGTTGTCTGGCTTTTAGTTGAATAGGATTTCCAACAAACACCCCCCACGTGCCGCCACAGTATGGTAGACTAAAAGCTTTAGGAATCCAAAGTATAACATATAATAAGTACCCTGTATCAAGATTGAGGCAAAACAAGTTAAATTTGATCTTTTTAGAGAGGTTTAGCAAAAAGACCTTTGGGCACATTTTGGCACATTTGAATACCATCAGTGCCATTTGACCTTTTTCAGGTACCATACTGTAAAAATAATTGTATTATCACTATAGGTAATCATTCCATCCAAATACAAGTGTTTGTATTAAAAAAAAAAAAATTATGTAAATGGTGTGTGTGCGTGTCTGTGTGTGGACTTTGCCACAGTCCTTACATGTTTATCACCCGACTAACACTTCTAGGAAGGTTTAGTTACACAATAACAATTAGGAAACATAGGATACATTTGTCTCCAACAGGAGCAGATTTATTTCAAAAATAACACACTAAAAAACTACACTAAAACCGAAATAACACCACAAGCATTTTTTTTGTAAACACTGGCAAAAAAGAAAAAATGTACACAACCTGAATGTGTTTAGTGTTTTTGAATTGAGGCACCAGGCACTTAGTGCAGAAGATAGGTCTTCACAATGTTGTTGCCAGCATCAGAGCACCACCCGGGGTCACCCCTCATCTTGTGCAGCTCCTTGTGGAGAAGGAAGCTGTTCACCACTGCAATGTCCAGAAAATGGTAAAAAAAGGTCTTGTACCATTTCATGGTTTTGTGGTGAACGCTGTAGTACCCAATCAAAGCATCGGACACATCCATGCCGCCCATGCTTCTGTTGTAGTCCACCACAGTGTCAGGAACGGTAACAACCTTAGTCTGCCACACACCAGCCCGTTTCACTTTCCTCCTGACAGTCTGTCCACTGAATCAGAAGATGCAGAGGGAGGCTGAGTTAGTACTGGTGCAGACGTCCGGCGGCGTAGCTTGGATGTTGATGGCTCTGCGGCAACTGTATGCTGATCTGATGCACGTCGTAGCTCGGATGAGGCAGATGTTGATGTCTGTGATCCAGAAGCCATTTGATACTCGTCTTCATCATTGTGAAAACAAATGTGGAAAAAACAATTACTTTGATTACTTCACTGGCTTATTCTTTCAAAAATGTAACTCAAATCAGAAATAATTCCTCCATTTAGCGTGTGTGAAATAACAGTAGCCTATACATATACTATAGCGTGTGTGAAATAACAGTATACATATATAGGCTATATATATATATATATATATATATATATATATATATATATATATATATATATGGACTGATATACAATACAGCTTTATTTATAAACTGCTAATAGTCAATGTCTGTAGAACTACAAAACAGCATCCATTTGGCGTGTGTGGAATAACAGTATGTGTATATATATATATATATACTGGGTTGATATACAATACAGTTTTATTTATATACTGCCGTGTTATAGTCACGAAATACAATTAATCTATGTATACATTCACCAACATGATGTTGCCATTGTTTTAGTTTCTCACAGAACGATAACGCTACAACAACAAAGCGGCGTCCATTTTGTATTTTGCGAGTGTGGAATTACTATAGATTACACTAAATACACAACTAATATATACAAACAGAGAGAGTACATACCTTTCCTGAAGTTCATAATCAGGGTTGCCTGCTGTTGTCTCTGTGTTCTCTGTTCGCTGTGTTCTCTGTTCGCTGTGTTCGTTGCTGCTGTGCTGTGCTGCCTGTGCTGGTTGTGCGGCTGGCGGTACTGTGTCATGTGCGCTAAGCAGCCGCTGCTGGCATTATTCATACTACGCAGGATCCTATCTCTGGAACCCATTGGTCGATTTGGGTGATTGACACCTTTTTTGAAACTTTAGAGCCAATAGAATCGAGGGGGAGTTGGTCAACCCCGCTAAACACTTACGTCAAGGAGAGAGAGGCTTGCGTAAACAGCACGTGAGACAGCCGGAGCCCCGGACTGCAAAACTTTATACCTACTCTGCGGCCATGAATGTAATGATGGATTATCAGCAACAATTCTAAAGTGACTAAGAGACATTGGATTAACCTTGAGCAGGGTTTTTATTCCCTTGAACACGACTTTTGATCACAAAACAGCAACGGTAAGACATAATTATTGTTATGGTTTAGAACATATTGTTGTTTTCTTGCTCTGTTCTGGCTGCTAGCTCAGTGAGTTCGTGTCCTATAGTGATGATACTTATATCAAAATAATCTGTGGAGTATCAGCTTTCAGATGATATGTAGTTTGTGCAGAACATATTAAGTTTTAAAGATCGTTTTTGCTAGTTAGCACCGGAAGTAGCATCAGCCTGTTTTCACTAACCCCCAGTTTCCACTGGGTCCGTCTGCGCCACGCTGCGCCGCTTCACGTCTGCGCCGCGGTTTTGGTCCGACCTCCTCTAGCGCCATAACCCACCGGACGCGTCCCAGAAGCGTTTCAGAAGCGTAGCGTCGTGCGTGCAGGCTCGCAGTTTTGTTATTGATTCGGGTATCCTGGACATGTGTACTTCTACAAGAAAGTAAGTAGGCTACGTTGTTAAATGTTTTATTTTTGTGTCTGGTTAAATTGTGTTTATTGTTGTTATACATTTCCTAATATGTAGTTGTTACCTTCCACTCCACAAACTGCAGCGACTAAAACCAGGCCTTGTCCTTTCTGATGTTGTCCTTGTAGTAAGCATTGGTTACATCATATAAAATAGTGTGTTTTTCCACTTCCATGATGAAAACCTCGTCGTCCATTGTGCGTATCGTAGTGGAGGTGTTGTGATGAAGGAGGGGGGTCTGCTAAATTAGTATATGTGGGGGATGGACCTGGCCCGGATGCTCCCCTTTCCACTTCCTGCGAGGGGGGGCTGCCTGCCCGACCTTAAGTTACGGCTGCGCCGCGGCAAAAATAGAATTCATCCTAATTTTAGAGAAGCGCTGTGCCGAGCCGCTTCTGGGACGCGTCTGAGCCGTAACGCGGTGCGTGTGGTGGAATAGCACGGCGCAGCCGTAACACGGCGCAGCCGTAACACGGTGCAGCACGGCGCAGACGGACTCGGTGGAAACTGGGGGTAAGGGCTAATGCTAACGCTTCTTGTGAGACTTGTGTTTTGTTTCGGTAAAAATGGCTCATATCGTCAGGTTGCTGAGTTTTTTTCCGTTATTTGAGTATAACCCCCTGATCCCACCGGAAGCGTCTGCGCTGCGGCTGCGCCGCGACCTCATCCTGCGTCATAACCCACCAGGCGCGTTTCAAAACGTTGCGGAAGCGGAGCGTCGTGTGTGCAGCCTCGCAGTTGTTGTTGATTTTGGAATATTTCCTGGACATTTGTACTTCTACAAGTAAGTAGGCTACGTAGTTAAATGGTTTATGTTTGTGTCTGTTTAAATCGTGTTTATGGTTGTTATTTCCTATTTTGTTGTGTTGTAGACTACAGACACAGTTAATAATAATTGTAATATTCCAGTTATAAACGACATGAATCAAAGATGTGTTGCTGTATTTTAGTGGTAAAAAAATATGCATTCATCATCATAATTATTCTATATATATATAATTTACAGTGCCTGTAAACTGGAGGAGAACGCTGGCATGTATTCTCCTACTTGAAAGACTACGGGGGGATGGGGGGAGGAGAAGTAGCCGGTTTTGGGTGCACCCCCTCAACCAGCAAAGGAGACAACAAGGTGATTTTCATCACCTCGTGGCTGAGCTGAGGCTGGACAGCCAACGACATCACCAATATTTTCGGATGAGTGCAGAGCAGATGGATGAACTTCTGTGCCTCCTGGGCCCTGTACTGACCAGACAATCCACAAATGTCAGAGCTGCCATAGAACCCAAGCAGAGACTGGCTGTTGCACTGAGGTAAGATGCACATTTCACAGACAATAAATCACTGACCACAAGTATAATAAACGTTATAATTAGAAACATATCACCCAAAACATCATTTTAAACACCAACATCAAATAACAGCAAATCAACACAAAAAAGGAACTATTTACAGTAAAAACAATATGAATTACAAGTCTTCATATTGAGACCCATCCTGCCATGCAGAGCCACTGTTGGAGAACAGCATGTTTGCGAATGGCCCTGTTGATTGGGCTTGTGGGGGTTGGGGTGCAGTTGGCCGAAGGGCTACTGGACTGGAGGTGTGAGTGGAGTGTTGTGATGTGGGGGGATGGAAAATTGGCTGCTAATGTTCCTGTGGTTGTGTACTCTCTCTTTCAAGACTATGGAAGGTGTTTAAAATAGCTATTTTTGCCCGATGTTTCCTGTCTATGTCCAGCCTTTGGAGCATAGGCACCAGACTCAGAGCAAAGTAGTATGACTCTTCAAGTGGTGAGTCTGGCATCTGTGGTGTGGCTGGAGGTTCCTGCAGTAGAGAAATGAGTTGCTCCCCAAGGTCTGTGCTCTGTGGCCTCCTCTTTGTGGAATGCTGGGCCGCCGCTGCTGGTGTGGATCCCTGGGGGCTACGGGACCTAGAGGGCCTCCTCTCTGCAGAGGTTGTGGGTACCAGAGGTGGTGGGGCTGTAGGTGGTGTGGGTGTGCGTGGGCCTGAATATCCAGATGCTGCTCCTGGTGTAGATGCTCTCTCTATCTCTTCTAATGGGGAAGGATTTCCCAAGCTGCTTGTAGAACTATATTAAAAGAAACAACAACATGAAATCAATTAAAATATTTTTTCCTGGGATTAATTTATGCAATATGAACATATTTATGTAATTTAAAATAAACTCTTTCATACCCTTTGCAATACATCATGACAAATTACAAAGTTACAAAATTATATAAATAAAAAAATGTGCATACATACCTCCTTTGCTGTATATATGGCAAAATGAAGGACATTATGTCTGAATACTTCCAGGCCTTCTGCAAGCCACCTGCAGATCCACTTGGGATGGACTTCTTCCGGGTTTTGACGAAAGCATCCCTCAGTGACTTCCATTTCGCCTTGCAAACGTCGACTGAAAAAAAGAATAGATTCCAATTAATAAAATGATATCACTTATTAATTCTTTGCTTATTTTTCCCTTCACAGATACTTGGCTTCCGGGGACTCACTGGTCAGCCTAGCATTCAGCTATCGCCTAGGATGCACTACTGTGAGAGACGCTGTCCATTTGGTGTGTGCAGCCATTGAAAAAATGATGATGGAGAGGTTCCTACCCAGGCCAACAGAAGACACGTGGAAGGAGGTTGCACAAGGATTCTGGGAAAAATGGAATTTCCCAAATTGCTTGGGAGCAATAGACGGAAAACACATCCAAGCACCACCACTGTCTGGGAGTCAGTACTTCAATTATAAGAAGACTTTTTCCATAGTGCTTTTGGCACTTGTTGATGCTGACTACAGGTTCCGTGTGATTCAAGTGGGGGACTTCGGAAGAACAAGTGATGGTGGGGTGTATGCCGGATCGGATTTGGGGAAAGGACTGGAGGCCAGAACACTTCATGTTCCAACCAGTACCTCTCTACCTGGTGCTGCTCACCTGGGTGAGATGCCATTCGTCATGGTGGGTGACGCAGCTTTCCCACTCAAGCCATACCTGATGAGACCATACCCCGGAAAGAACCTCACTCAACAAAAGAGGATTTTAAACTACAGACTTTCCAGAGCAAGGATGGTAGTGTAAAATGCCTTCGGCATTCTGGCTTCCAGGTGGAGAATCTTCCTTCGTCGCATCAACCTGCACCCGAAAAACGTGGACAAGCTTGTGGTGGCTGCATGCATCCTACACAACTCCCTGCTGGCCCCTAGTGAAAACCAGAGGTTGCTGGATGAGGAAGAGCAGCAGGGAAGACACATGGCACCAGTGAGAAACATGGGAGGAAACAGGGCATCAAGAGAGGCCTGTAATGTGAGGGAGGCTTTCTGCACATTCTTCAACTCTCCTGAGGGCAGTGTGTCTTGGCAGGACAGGATGGTGTGATTACTGGAACACACAAAAGTTACTACACTGACAAAATGATTGAAAGATGTGTTTTTTCATTCCAGAGAATTTGAAAAAGCAAAAAAGTATTAGTTGTTGTACTCCCAAAGACAGGTTATTGTTGCATTTGTAAAAAAAACTGTTCTTTATTTTTAATATCCTATGTTATTATGTATTTTTTTGATAATACATTTCATAATAAATAGTTTTGTCTGACAAATGACTGCCAAATTATTCTTGTCTGTCCTCACAATTTATCTGACTATAAATACAAGGTTATACTCTGGGTAGTTGTTTTTTCAATGATGTAAAAAAATATTACAAATCAAAATATAGTAGCCCTATATTTGATGAATTACTGTACTATTGTACAATGGCACTTGTGAAATACAATTTCCTGTTTTACTACAATACACCTCAGAGGGAAATATTATTTCTTCATTTTACATTTTTCTGATAGCTATACTTTAAAATTAATACAAAATAAATTGAATATTAAAATATATTATCATTATAATGGGTTAAACAAAACTATTGATCCCTGGACAAAATTCACAAGCTAAAGTATAGTTAAAAAAACAGTATATAACAATTAGGGCCGGGACTTTAACGCGTTAATTAAGATTAATTAATCACACAAAAATTAACGCATTAAAAAAATTAACGCATTTTAATCGCACTTATTTTTGCACCGCGGAACGTTTCTCACTGGAGGAGTTTCGGGCGTACCGATTATACTGGAGCACCAACTAACGTTCATGACTTCAGACAACAACAAACCCCAGTGAACAACAGTGGGAAATGTTGTTTTAAAAAACGGACGGATGGAAGCGTCGATAAGAGCACGGTTGTGTGCAAATTATTCAAAAAGGAATTCGCATATCACCGCAGCACATCAAGCCTCAAGTATCACCTCAATGCAAAACATATAGCAGCTAGCGTGGAAGCTAGCGTGGACGTTAGCCTCTTTTAACGCGTTCACACCAAAAAGACCCGGTACTAAAATTAGTTCATGAGAACCTTTTTACCCCCACGAAAGTCCCTGCTAGAGAGCAGGGACTTTCATACGGCTCTCTTGTGAGAAAAGAGCTATATTTCTGATTGGCTGGGCGGATTGCAAACCACGCCCCGTAAAACTCCCAAAAAGTTTTGTGAAGCCGCCATTTTATTATCCTCGCATTAGCATTATTAGCATTAGCCCAGCGCAGAAACGCAGAGAGACTAATTTATGGCAACACAAAATAAAACATGGGAGCGGTGGAGATGAGGAGGTGTCGGCGTTCTGGCGATTTACTCGGAAGGCTTCAGTAGAAGCTGCTGGGACTCCCAGCAGCTTCTACTGAAGCCAGTCCCCAACTCCGGGGACTTCCGGCCGGGGACTTTGGGCGGCAGTATACGCCGTGAAGTGGTTTGCGGCCTGCCAGTAAACCCAAAGCAGAAGAAGAAGAAGTGACGTCAGCGGCTTCATTTGCCTATCCACCGAGATGGGTCTGTCTGCAGACCGCAGCAAGGAGGCGGATCGTATAGGGGCGGATCGTATAGGGGCGTTTCCTAACTTTTTTTATCCAATAGAATGAGATGGGTCTGGCTGCAGACCAATAGAGTCTGTCTGCAGACCAATAGAGTCTGTCTGCAGACCGCAGCAAGGAGGTGTATCGTATAGGGGCGTATCGTATAGGGGCGTATCGTATAGGGGCGGATCGTATAGGGGCGTTTCCTAACTTTTTGTAACCAATAGAATAATGACACTCAGCAGAAATACATACTGTAGGTGGCAGTAATGCAACTTAAGGGATTCCAGCTGCTTTTATAAATCCTCGCAGAAGAAGTAATTCGTTCTTTCACAATGGCCGAACAAAAAGTTGAAACAGCGGTAATAGTATTTTCCAGAGATGCATGTTTATATTTATTGTAATGTCATTTTTCTTAACACACAATTGTCTCGTTATCAAAGTACAACATCGACTGTCCAACCTCGTTAAGCGTTAATAAAGTAAATAATAGTTGTATGTGGTAAAAATGTTTGTGGTATTAAATGCTAACTTAGCATGATGCTATAAACACGTTGGCCTATAGTCCCGTTTGCAACCAGGCCTACTCTACTGTTGTAATAACGTTAAGCTTAGATAGGTCAATAGATTATCAGGCTCGGTAACAATACTGATTTGTGTTACCAAAGATGATCATCTAATTGACCTAAGGTTAGCGTATATGCTGTGATGCTAACCAGCACTTAGCATGATGCTAGTGTACTGTTGTATTAACTTGGAAATATAAGTAGGCCTGCCCTACATACTGTAACTTAATCAAATAATATGGTATGGATTCGGATAGACAACATGGCTAGCTTGGTTGGTTGAATTGAGTAATAAGATGTGCGGTACTGATTAAGGTTGTAACTGTAACAGTTTGTAACTACTAGTTGTAATGAACCAGACGAGAGACGGACGCATCCTTTCAGTAAATGTCGGATGCTAATTGTGAGGTATCTATATTACTTTGTAAGGGTAAAACCCCAGCTCGGTTCAATATCCGAGATCCAGTGAACAGAGATAACAGTACTCGAGTTTCAAGTTTACTTGCTGCAAGGAGAATCGGCGAGTGACATGCAATGTCCACTCCTTAACCAACTCTGCTCGCCTTCTCTCAGTGCATTCTTTTTATTTCAACAATACAGTAACATGACAATCATGTGATGTTGACCAACGCCTTATTTGTTAGTGTGAATCTTGTGACTCTCAGTCATGTGAATCTGTGTGTGTGTGTATGTGTGCCATTTGAACAGACTGTTCTCTGTTCCTCCATTAACACATTTATGAGAATACATTATGAAAACACATTTATCCTTCAATAAACTCTAACATTCCCTCCTGTTTTTCATAATTACTAGCTGGTTACAATGTCTTTATTACTTTCAGAATTAATTCACTTGTTTTTGACATTTTCGAACCATTCGTCATATGACAGACAGTAACCTAGCTTTAAGTCTTACACATTGGAGGTTAGGTGAGTATATTCGTCCTTCTGAGAGGGGTCTGTGTCATATAGTCACCGTTATCTGTCTGTTGCAACATCGTTGAGTAGTGACCATTTTTTCTCTCGATGGACTTCTTCTTTTTTTGAGGATTCCTCACTCAATTGTCTTATAGTCATTAGCGTCAGACCCAGCAGGGTCACTACAAACAACACCTTTCCCAACATAGTCTATTTGTGATAGTGGTTCTGTTGTTTTCTTCACCGGGGTTGAGACCAGTATTTCCTAATGAAACACCGCTCTTTGTAGCCGGACTTCCACCACTTATCCGTCGTTAAGTTGGAGAGGTATTATCTTTTTGCAGTGGCTCTGATGTATCCACGTAGTTCTTTCGGCGATTTTTAGTGCAGTCGGTGTTGTCAGCAGTACCGTGTAGGGACCGTCCCACCGTGGACAGTGCCAATGCTTCCTCTTAATCACCTTCACGAGGACCTGGTCACCAGTCTGCACTCGAGTATCCTGTAAGGGAGTAGAAATGTCTGGCAAGTTATTTGTTCGAGCTATCTCATTGCTTCTGAAGAGTCTGCTCATCCATTCAGCTAATGTAGTCTCTGCCTCAGCATCATCCTCCTCCCTCACCTCGTCTGTGATTGGTAGTCTGAATTGCCTTCCTGTTATGATCTCAAAGGGAGACAACCCTTTTGCCGTGGGCGTGATTCTCATGCATGTTTCTACTAGAGACACACATTCCACCCATGGTCTTCCTGTTTCCTCCATTGTTTTCCTTAGTCTTAACTTTACTGTTCCGTTTGTTCTTTCCACTAAGCCTGCACTCTGTGGATGATATGCACAATGGTTTTTTAATGTTATCCCCATATGTTCGGACAGTTTGGTAATAACCTGATTTACAAAAGTTTTTAGAAAATGTAATGTAGTTGTATGTATGGAAGTGTTCATTTATTATTGTCACCATCCCTCCTGTTGAGACATGGCACGGCCCATGACTCAAATGAGCTGCTGTTTTGTAGAGACTAACAGAGAGTACTATCTTGTTGTTTATTCTGAATGTTCCCTCAGGGTCTGTGGTTGCACCATCTGTCAACCATTTCTTCTTTTCTCTGTCGGGTGCGCTGTTCTGCATATCCCTTAATATCACAAGAGGTATCGGTTGTGAAACACTTTCCCCCTTCTGCAAGAGGATATGGAACCCATATTCGCCCACAGCTGCTAGCTTCGCTACCTTATCCGCGTGTGCATTGCCAAGTGTTACTGCATCCTTCCCACTGGTGTGCGCAGCACATTTGCATATAGCGATGCTTTTCGGCAACAACACCGCTTTTAAAAGATCAGTCAGCAGCTGTGCATGGGTGACTGGTTTTCCTGTCCCTGCGGGCCCATTGGGCTGCAAATATATGTACTGTTGAGTGCGCATATTGGCTGTCTGTCCACATAGTCACATCTTTTCCAACCCCCGCTTTGCATGCTTCTGTAAGAGCTACTAATTCCGCTGCTTGTGCAGAATATGTGTGGGGGAGTCGGCCTGCTTTTATGACCTGTGAGTGTGATACAACTGCAAACCCTGTTTGATTTTGGCCTGTTATAGATTTAGAACAGGACCCATCCACAAAACCATGTTTCGCCACTAAGCAGTTGTATGTCTTTCAAATCTGGTCTTGGTTTGCATGTTCTGTCAGTCTCTTCTTTACAACAGTGTGGATCTCCATCTTCTGCTGTAGGTATTAATGTGGCTGGATTTAAGATATTACATATTTTCATCACAATGTGTGGTTGTGACATTAGTGTAGCTGTCAGTGCCAAATAACGTGCAGGTGATAAGAAAGCCATTTTGGTGTCATGTAACAACATGGTGACTGCATCAGTGTGAGTGGGTGGAACAAAACTATTTCTGCTGTACAATGTACCGCCATTGCTGCAGCGCATACTGCTTGTACGCATACTGGTAATGCTTGTGCTACTGGGTCTAACCTTTTAGAGTAGTAAGCGACAGGCCTTAGTTTTGTGCCGTGTTTTTGGGCCAATACTGATGTCATAAACCCTTTTTTGCAGTCAACTGTTTGTACAAATGGTTTTTCATAGTCTGGTAATGCTAACACTGATGACCCTACGAGACACTGTTTAGTCCTTTCAAATGCAGCTTCTGCCTCTTGTGTCCATTCTATCTTGCCGGACATTTTCATGTCATTGTCTGAGTATATGCAATCTAGTAGGGGCTGAGTCATTCCTGC